GGTCCCAAACCTGCACACAGAAATAACATCACATGAGACCAGAAGAAATGGCAGGATGTGCAGAATACCCCCATCAAAAAGCAGAGGTGCAACAGGTACTCTTGAGAGAGAACTCTTATCAACATCAGAGGCCCGAGACTGTTCAACACACTTCCACTACACATAAGGGGCATAACTGGCAAACCTCTCACAGTGTTCAAGAGAGAACTGGATAAACACCTCCAAAGGATACCTGATCAACCAGGCTGTGACTCATACGTCAGGCTGCGAGCAGCTGCGTGCAACAGCCTGGTTGATCAGTCCGGCAACCAGGAGGCCTGGTCGACGACCGGGCCGCAGGGACACTAAGCCCCGGAAGCACCTCAAGGTAACCTCAAGGTAACCACTGTATGTGTATATACATGATGTGTATATATGTGTATGTGTACTTTTTCTTTCGGAAGGGGCTCTGTTCCCTTCTCTGTTGACGGGGCGCTGGGGGAGCAGCTTGCTCTGTTGACTCTCGTATGGTCCTGCTGTTGGTGGGCGCTTTTGGTTGATTTCCGGCCTCTGGTGGCGGCGGTGGACGGCTTCTACCCCTTTGGGGGGTTCAGAGCTGGCGGGGTGAGCTTCTTCCCCTGCGCTTCGTCCTGTCATCTTGGTGGGCGTGGTCGATCCGCCCCTTTCTTCTGGGTGTTCCCATCTGCTCTTTGCAGACATGGGCCTTCGGATCTGCGGTTCTTCTGGACTTCTTCAGTCTGCGCCCTGGTTTCTATGCCCTCCTAGGAGGGCTGTTGTCTCCTGTCCGGCTTCTGTTGAGGCCGGGTGCCTGGATGGTGGCCCTGGACCTCCAGGTCAATTATTGGCACTGGGTGTATATTTGCATCTTTACCAGATCTTGGTGCCCTGTCTGAGTCTGCTTGAGATTCAGTGTCTGGCCTACCTCGACAACTGGCTGGTGTGGGCTCCCAGTCGGTCTGTTTGTCTGCTCGCCAGGGATGTGGTTCTTTCCAGATCGCTGGGTTTGGTTTCCTGGTGATTTGGAGGCCATTCCATCTGTTTCTATCCCGGGTTCGGACCTGGGCCTTGTTTAGGGCTCTTGGGCCACTCCTTGTCTTTCCCTCCAGAAGTGTTACTGCGGCTGTGGTCCCGCCTTCGGCTGTGCATGAGGGGGTCCCGGGTTGCTCGAGCAGTTGTGCAGGAGTCTGAACTTCGACGTGCTGGTCTGCTCGCGGCGTCGGGTTTGGCTTCGGCGTCTGTTTGGTTCCTTCGGAGACTCCCCTTCCGCCTCTTGCAATCGTTGGGTTCGTTCCTCCGGGAATCTTGTGTTGGTGCTGCGTCACCAGCTTCCTCTTTTGGGTTTTTGGGGTTCCGTGCCTTGGCACCTCCCCAAGCCTTCGCTCGATGTGTTCAGACGGGTCATCTCTCGACTGGGGCTTTTGTGCCCAGTGCTCACCAGGTCGGCCGGGGATGGTGGAGTCTGTCCGTCGGGCTCACAGCACAGTTCGGGTGTTCGTGGCTGTCTGGTTTTGCGCTTCGGAGGGTTTGGGTCACTCAGTGCTCTGCCATTCCGCTCTTTTCGGACTGTTCTCTAGCGGTTCTAGCCGGAACCACAGGGTTTCTCTTAGGTGTTGACCTTTGGTGTTGGTTCCTTGGAGTGGCTCGTTTGCTGGATTCTCAGGGTTTGGCTAACCTTGAGTTTCATGTCCGGGGGTGTGTCCTGTGTCCTGGCAGACAGCTGTCTCGGTTCATTCCTCTGTTTGCGGATTGGCCAGTCGTTGCCGACTCGTTTCGTTGGCTCTGCCGGACGTATGGACTCCTGGCCATGGACGTTCCTCGCATCGGCGTGGTTTACGCATTGCCCATTTTATGTGGCGCCCTTACCCGCCTGCAAGACGTTCACGTTGGATGCTTTTCGGCGGGACTGGTTGAGGTGGGGGTACCTGTTCCTCTTCTCCCGGTCCAGCTGTTGCTTCGGGTTCTGGCTCGGTTGCAGCCCATTCCCATGAGAGCAGTCCTTATGGTTACTTGGTGGCCGGCCCAGCTTCTTTTCAGGCACTGCTTGAAAGGTGTCTGAACCCGGGGCGTTTTCCCGTGGCTCCGCCTCTTTTGGCAGGTCGGATCGGTCCTGTACATGACTGGTTCTGCCTTTTCCTCGGCTCTTCGCATCTGGTATTTTGACGCGGGTATCACCATCTCTGTGGTGTTCAGGTGGCCTTGTTGACGGTGTCCCACCTGCAGGCTTTGTCTTGGCAACAGTATGACGTTCCTGGTGTTTCTATGCACTTTCCTTGCTCTTTATGCATTGTCTTCTCTTTCGCATCGGGTTGTCTTGTCCTTTCTTGGGTTTTCTGGGCTACAGTTATTTGATATTTTCTTACTGTTGCCTCGTTTTATGGGGTGCTGGCGGAGCCGCTCCAGCTTGCGTTCGGGGTGGACGTCACATCTGCCCCGTTTTGTCCGCTTTCTCGTGTTTTGTTTCACCCCTGGCCTGCTCATGCGTCGCCTGCGTCGTCCTGGTCCTTGATCAGGGAGCCTTCTTATCTTCTCTTCAGTTTGTGGTAGCCCCTTCGGTTCCGGTTTCTGCTCTTTGGTACTGGTGGTAGTTTTGTACGTGTGCAGCCTTTCTCCGTCCTGGCGATGGTCGAGACGGCTGGTTTCCGGAGAGGTTCTTGGGTTATTGATGCTTGATTGGTTTGGCCGGGGGTGCGTCCTGTGTTGTCCGGTTGCATTTTTTGCCGTTCCCTGCGTACTGTGTCTGGGGATGCGCTTTGGTTTGATCCGGTTCCCCTCGTTCCCTGTTTCAGGGCTCGGGTCTCTCAGGTCGTCCTCAGAGATTTTCGGTCTTCCAGCCTGCGGTCTGTCTTTGCGCCCATACTGTTCGGACGTTTGCAGCTTTTGCTGCTGTGTTGGTGACGTCTGGGGCTCATTTTGGGCGCAGGGAATTGAGGGTCGCACAGGTTCTTGGCCGCTCATTCTTATGGGTGTCTGCTCCTGTGCGTTCTTGTTGCCTTAGGTCGCAGGTTGCATCCTGTTGTCTCGGCTTCGTGTTGCGAAGTTTGTGGCGGTCGCCTCCCAGGTTAGCCCTTTCTTTTCCTTCTCTTTGAGTATGAAGCTCCTGGGAGCCGTAGGGGCTCCCCACAGAAAACCAGCTTTGAATGTAATGAAACGCCATTTTCTGGGTGAGCTCTGGAGGCTCTCTGGCAATCCTCCCTCCCACCGGTCAGCGTTTTTTTCGCGTTGGTTGAAGCTTAGCTTCCGAACTGGAGCTTGGCAGCCGGTGCGGTAGGTCCGGGGCTCCCACCTCCCCCTCTCGGGGCGGGGAGGGCTGCGCGAACAATCGGCGCGGCAGTAAAGTGTGATGTTTGCTTGTTTCCTTGGGATTGTAGGGAGTTTCTACCTCTCTGTTCGGTTTTTTGTTTTAGTTTTTTACCATGTGGGGTTTGTTTTGTAATGCCTACCTTTCTGGGTGCCTGACCCTGGTCGATGGCAGATAAGGAAAACCCCAACCACAAGAGGGTTTTCCAGTGCCATTGCTCCCTGGAACCTCTCTGAAGGGGCCAGGTTCTGGCGCTGGTCCCTGGTAGGTCTGAACTCCTTAGCTAATGTCCCGGTCTAATATAACATACATTAGCCCGATAAGCTCCAGGGAGCCTCTGGGGCTCACCCAGAAAATGGCGTTTCATTACATTCAACGCTGGTTTTTTGCCGTTACCTGCGTACCGTGTCTGGGGATGTGCTTTGGTTTGATCGAGTTCCCCTCGTTCCCTGTTTCAGGGCTTGGGTCTCCCAGGTCGTCCGCAGAGTTTTTCAGTCTTTCAGTCTGCGGTCTTTCTTTGCGCCCGTGCTGTTCGGATGTTTGCAGCTTTTGCTGCTGTGTTGGTGACGTCTGGGGCTCATTTCGGGTGCAGGGAATTGAGGGTCGCACAGGTTCTTGGCCGCCCATTCTTTATGCACGTCTGCTCCTGTGCGTTCTTGTTGCCTTGGGTCGCAGGTTGCAACCTGTTGTCTCGGCTTCGCGTTGCGGAGTTTGTGGCGGCCGCCTCCCGGGTTAGCCCTTTCTTTTCCTTCTCTTTGGGTATGAAGCTCCTGGGAGCCGTAGGGGCTCCCCACAGAAGACCAGCGTTGAATGTAATGAAACGCCATTTTCTGGGTGAGCCCCTGAGGCTCCCTGGCAACCCTCCCTCCCACCTGTCGGCGTTTTTTCGTGTTGGTTGAAGATTAGCTTCCGAACTGAAGCTTGGCAGCCTGCGCGGTAGGTCCAGGGCTCCCCCTCTCGAGGCGGGGAGGGCTGCGCGGACGATCGGTGCGGCAGTAAAGTGTGATGTTTGCTTGTTTCCTTGGGATTGTAGGGAGTTTCTACCTCTTTGGTTTTTTGTTTTAGTTTTTTTACCATGTGGGGTTTGTTTTGTCATGCCTACCTTTCTGGGTGCCTGACCCTGGTCGATGGCAGATAAGGAAAACCCCAACCACAAGGGGATTTTCCAGGGCCATTGCTCCCTGAAACCTCTCTAAAAGGGGCCAGGTTCTGGCGCTGGTCCCTGGTAGGTCTGAACTCCTTAGCTAATGTCCCAGTCTAATATAACATGCATTAGCCCGATAAGCTCCAGGGAGCCTCCGGGGCTCACCCAGAAAATGACTTTTCATTACATTCAACACTGGTGTTTTTCTTGAAGATTGTCTACCCCTGCTGCAGGATAGTCAATAAAATACTCTAATTGTGGTAACATAAAATACAGTGACAGTGTCAGACCATGAAAGAAGGAATGAAACATTAATTTCCTTAAGTACTTTCGTATTTAATAATACATCTTCAAAAGCAATGATCCTTCTGAAGATGTATTATTAAATACGAAAGTACCTAAGGAAATTCCAGTTTCATTCCTTTCTTCGTGGTCTGACACTGCCACAATTTTCATCACGTGTTAATTTTTGTAATTTACACACACAAAATACAGTATATGATATGTTATTGTTATAATGTATTGGTCAGTAATAAAACAATACTTTCTTTTACACAGGATAATGGCAGCAAACCAGAGGAGTGTCAGCTCTGTTTTGACTTTTATGGTGATGACCAGAAACGACCACGCTCTCTACCTTGTGGGCACACTTTCTGCTCACAGTGCATTGAAGATGTTATAAAGACACCACCACTCACCTGCCCTACCTGCCGTGTGAAACACAGAGCCACATCTGCTGTTCAATTCCCGATTAACTACGGCATGGAAGCCTTCATTAGAAAATTCCAAGAAATGCAATTGGAGAAGCCTCACGAAGAACCCCCAAGAGACATCAGCAAGAGATTACAGTCTATGGTGCAGGAACAGAAGAGGAGTCTCATCAGCCTCATTACCACCTGTGAAGACATACTGTCCCAAATGGACTTTCATCGGATAGAGTTGAGGAGGCTTGAGACCTGGGATAATATACATAACTCATGCTATTTTGAGGTGGAGTATATGGCAACAGAAGGTGAGGACGTAATAAGTTCACTTAAGGATATTTTGAAAGACTTTGACTTTAGCAGATATGCACAAGATGTGTTCAGAAGTGTTAATGAAGCTGATCAGTGCAGCGAAGAGGCAGAAAACTGGATTGAGCAGTGTCGGGAAGACTTTTCAGATATCATCACAGTGAAGGTATGTTGCTGGAGGTCACATTGCTATTATTGATAGCATGAGAGACATATTGAAAGTATTTTAATGACAAACTTTAACTCTTTTTTTGCTGATGTGCTCTTTGGATGATTTTTATTTTGCATTTTGTTATGTTTTTATTACATTTCCAGCAAGAAAATGTTGCTTTCTGGGGGGAGCCCCGTCGGCTCCCCGGAGCTATCCAGGCTGAATGGATATGTATAACTATCTGGCATCAATCAGTGCAAGGAGTTCTTGCCTACCGGGGACCACGAGCCAGAATCTGGCCCCCCCTCTAGAGAGGCACGAGGAGCAATGGCCTATAGAGACCTCCCTTATGATTAGGAGCATTCTATGTCTGCCATCGACCGGGATAGGCACCCTGAAAGGTAGGCGCCCCAAAACAAACCCCTATTCTGGTAAATTATTGCGACTGAAGACCAAACAGGTGGACAGAATTCCCCAAACGAAAATTAGCAAACAAGCATGATGTCATCATGTCGCCGTGTCACTGTCTGCGCAACCCACCCCACCATCGGCCACCCAACCATTAGTTCTTAGGCTGATGGGATCTGGCGCGATCGTGCCTCTGGCTCCAGTTTTCCGTTGCAGTTCTGTACCTTGTGGTGTGAGCTGTCCCTTCCGGTGGTGCGTGGGCCAGGAGTGATATTCCATGGTGCTCGGGCTGCATGCACCTAGGGTCACCTTCCCTAGGTGCCCTGTAGGTACTGCCCTTGGGGCTTAAGGCCACCTTCCCTGGGTCACCTTGGGGTCTACCTCCGCTGTGCCGTTTACTGCTCAATACTTGGCTGCCATTGGAGTCAGCTGGGGGTTTTTCTTGCCCTTGTTTGTCTCTTGGTAGGGGTAGTTTTCGTCACTGGCAGGGGCGCGGGGTACTGCACAGCTAGTTTTCACCATTAACAGCGGCCAGCTCTGTTCCGCCCGGGTACGTTGTGCTCTTGCGGGGTTTTTCTTTTGTTTTTGTTTTCTGCCTGGTGGGGGGAGGGGTCTGCCTGTTGGTCCCCCATCACTGTTCTTGGGGTATATCTATATTTTTAATTCTCCATTTTGTGTTGGTGGTCCTCCCCACTTGGCCCCCTTGAGTGTGCACGTCCCGGGGGCTCAGCTATAGCAGTTTGTTTGGTAGTTTTAGGTGCCGGTTCGCAGTACCCTGCCTGGGCTTCCCTTAGCGTGTAACAAAGGCTAAGGGCCCTGGAAAACCCCACGGGGGCTAAGTGGTCCGATGGATGTGACCCCTGAATCCCCTCTCGCGTCCTGCGAGTTTGAAGGTTGTTCTGTCCCCTTGTATCAAGGGGAACACTCACCGGTTTTGCCTCCGCCATGCTGCCTGTTGGGTCGTTGATTGTTTTGACCCGGAGTTGTGCGACGTGTGTTGTCTGTACGTACTCCAATTCACCCAGGCTACTGTGCCTGATATGCAGGTGAGGGCAGCTGAGGCATTGCATGCTCGCTTTAGGTTGCTGCAACGTGCTAGGTTGGTTGCTGCCCCGGATGCCCCGAGACTGCCCCGTTTTGGTTATAGGGACCTGGACTTGGGGGTGGGAGTCTCTTCGACTCTGGTTCTGTCCGCCCCTCCAAGTCCTTTCCCTTCTGTTGCCCATTCGTTCCCCCCATCCCCTTGCTGCCGGCTCCTAAATGTCTGAGGGTTTCTGAGCCGGGGCTGGGTATAGTTGGTTGTGAGACTCAGGTGGTCTCTGGGGTGTCCCCTTCTTGGGCGGTGACAGAGGCATTCGAGCCTGGTCCTTCTGCCGGAGCTTCTGGGTCTGGTCAGTGGACCCTCTTTGTTCCTGCTTTTTCGGCTGCTCACGCCTTTTCTTTGTGAGTGGGGCTCAGGAGGACGGCTCGGCCCCAGGCCCTCTGAGCGAGGTTCCTGGGGTTGGGGAGGGGTTGGCTTGGGGGCCTTGGGCCCTGTTGGACCCCACCTGGGTTTTTCTACCCTCTGAGCGGAGCTTGGTATTACAAGGAGAGGGGTTCTATTTTGCTCCCTCCGCATACGAATTGGATTTGGTGTCCACCCATCCCTGGGGTTCGGTTCCGTGATCCTGCGGGTTCTTCGGTTCTGTCTTTCCGGAGGTTTCCGGCTTCCAGTGTTTCATCTTTGGAGGTGTGGGAGGCCTTGGCGGCTTACCTCCTGCATGACCCGGATTATGCCTTCATGATGGATCCGCGTGTGTACGGATACCCTGGTTCGTGCTGGTTTCGTTATGAAGTTCCGGAGTCGTCTTTGAGTGGCGAGAGGTTTCTACGGTGTTGCAGGTTTTCCTAGGGGGCGCCTTCGAGCATCTTAATGCTTGCTTGTTCTCCCCTGCCCTTCCGCGGGATGTTGGTGTCATGCAGCTTCACATGCAGGTTCCTTCCCTCTCGACTGCCTTGGTTGCAGAGGATTTGCGGACTTGTGGCCTGCTTGCTTCGGCTCTGCGTTTCGTTTCCCTCCTTGAGCTGCCATCGGATTGGCTCGAGTTGGATGTGGGAGCGCTTGGGGCAGCTGCCTGGTCCGGTGCGCTGCCCTCTGGGGTGCGGGCGTCATCTGCTTTGTTGAAGCTCTTCGTGCCCATCCTACGTGATGCGGTTTCGTGGTTCTATGCTTCTTGCCACGCATGTTGTCAGGCAGTGCTGGCTTCTTCCTTGGAGTCTGCCTGGGCCCTGGCTCTTCGTTTGTCTTCGTCTTTTTGTCCGTTGCTGTTTGCGGAGTCTGCTGTGGTGCAATATCTGCAGGCGACCTCAGTCAGTTGTCGGCCTATGTCTGAGTTGTTGTTGCTCCGGGGGGCTCGCGGGGGGTGCCTTCCCGGAAGGGTCATGCCAGGGCTCGGGGGGTCTTTTTGTCAGGGTAGGCCTTTGGTGCCGGATTCGGGGCTGGCGGCGCTTTCGATTCTGGCTGTTGCTGGTCGTTGTAGGGATCATCCTGTTCGCCAATTAGGTTCTCGCAAGGCGTGTCGGCCCTTTCGCAGTTCGTCCCATTGACAGGGTGATTGGGGGGGGGGGGCTTTCCCAGTTTGCTCATGCCTGGTCCCACGATTCGTGGGCTTTTCGGGTCGTTTCATGCGGCCTGTGGTGGCGTTGCGTGGCTCTTCCTCCCTTGGGGGGGGGGGGGGTTCGCAGTTGACGGGGCAGGCCTCTTCTCCTGCGCTCTGTCGGGTCATCTTGGAGTGGGTTCGCTTGGGCGTGGTTGAAACGACGTCGTCCCTCAGGTGGGTTTCCTGCCAGTTTCCAGTCCCTGCGTTGACCTCCAGTTCATTCTGGACTTGTCCCGTCTGAACCCGTGTGTTTTGTGCCCCTCCTTTCGGATGGCTATGCTGTCCCAGGTCCATCTTCTTTTGGAGGGGGCGCCTGGATGGTGTCCCTGGACCTAAAGGCCACGTATTGGCATGTCCCGGTTCATCCGGGGTTCAGGGACTGGCTTGGTTTTGTTGTGGGGCGTCAGGGTTACTGCTGTCGTTGTCTTCCCTTCGGGTTGAATCTGGCACCTCGCGTTTTCACGTGCTTTACTCGGGTCATGGTGACCCGCCTGTGTCTGCTAGGTGTTAGGGTGCTGGCCTATCTCGACGACTGGCTGGTTTGAGCTCGCAGGTGTCTGGTCCGCGTGTCTGCTCGCCAGGGATTTGGTTCTTTCCCAGCTCACCGGGTTCAGGTTCTTGGTGAACTAGAGGAAGTCCCATCTGGTTCCCTCTCAGGTTCGGTCTTGGCCGGGTTTGGTTTGGAACGCTCGCACTGCTTCCTTGTCTCTTCTTCCGGCGGCTCTCTTGCGCTTGTGTTCCCGCCTTCACGTGTTTCTGAGGGGTTCCCGGGTCACGAGGCAGTTGCTCGAGAGTTTGTGCGGGAGCCTGAACTATTCCATGATGGTCTATCTGCCAGGTCGGGTGTGGTTTCGCCGGCTGTTCTGGTTCCTACAGGGCCGGCCCTTCCACCTCTCTCGTGATTGTTGGGTTCGGCCTCCGGGGGCTTTGTGTCGGTTGCTGTGTCGCTGTCTTGCTCTTCAGGTTTTTCGGGGTACGGTGCCTTGGCGCCTTCCCGAGCCCTCACTCAATGTGTACACGGACACGTCGTCTTTTGGCTGGGTTTTGTGACCAGTGCTCACCAGGCTGGCCAGTGGCGGTGGGGTCCGTCCTTCCGTCGGGCTAACAGCACGGTACGGGAGTTCACGGTGGTGTGGATGTCGTTCCGGAGGATTCGAGTCGCTCACAGATCGACGATCAGACTCCATTCAAACTGCTTCCCGGTGGTTCATTGCCTGAACCGCATGGGTTCAATGTGGTCCTTGGCTCTTTGGGGCTGGTTGCTTCGGGTGACTCGTCTGCTGAGTTCTCGGGGTTTGGCTCTCCTGGCGGTTCACGTCCGGGGGGGTGTCCAACGTCCTGGCGGACAGCCTGTCCCGGTTCCTTCCCCTTTCCACGGAATGGACGGTCGATCCTGACTCCTTCAGTTGGCTGTGCTGAACGTTCGGGACTCTGGACATGGATCTCTTCACGTCGGCGTGGTTGAGGCGTCTCCCGGTATACATGGCACCCTTTCCCAGCTGCGAGGCCATTGGGGTTGACGCCTTCAGGCAGGACTGGGCGAGGTGGGGTTACCTGTACCTCATTTCCCCTGTTCCACTGTTGCTCCAGGTCCTGACTCGCTTGGAGACTTACCGAGGTCGAGTTGTCCTTCTGGCTCCTTGGTGGCCGGCCCAGCCTTGGTTTCAGGCGCTGCTTGCTCGGTGTCCGAACCCTAGGGTCTTCCCGCGGCTTCGCCTCTTTCGGCAGATCGGTCCAGCCCTGTAAGAAGCTGGTTCGGTCTTCTCCTCGAGTCTTCACGTCTGGTGTTTTTGACTTGGGTTGACTTTGACTTTTCCTTGGGTTTATCATTCCTTGTATGGTGCACAGGTGGCTTCATTGTTGGTCTCCCACCTGTGTGCTTCGTGTCAGCGGCAGTATGAGGTTTCCTGGCGGTCCTTCTGGTTTTTCCTATCACTGTGTCGGTGTTCTTCAGTCTCTGATAGGGTT